ATGCCGTTTGAAGAGACTTAGAACAGTGGCAGGGCAGTGCTGCAGGTGAGCTCTGCTGCTCTCCAGGGTTACCCCCGAATTTTGAGACTGAGCAAAAGGGATCTACAGAGATTTAATAAAAAAGGAACACTGATGGGCAGGTTGAAAAAGTAATGGATTCAATCACAGATTAGAAGGATGACTTAAAATCAAATTCCTTCAGTTTTAAAAAAAAAAAAAAAAGCCCAAAGGAAAAAATGCCACTAAATCTTCATTGTACTTGGCTAGTCAATGGCTTGATCTCACTCAACAGGAACCTTCCATTAACTCAATCCTAGCAGAGATGCTGAGTGTAACTAAACACAAATACTCATGTAAATGAAGTCTTCAATTAAGTTTCTATAACGTCTCAAAATAGAAACATTTTTGCTAGCTTGTTGACTAAGTGATAAAAAAAAACACAAGGTGAACAGTATTAATAATTTGAGCCAGTATTTCTCATTTCTATTAAATTGTTAAATTACAAATAACTCTTATGTGTATTTTCAGTAAACTCTTTGCAATTTCTAGCTAAAAAAAAAAACCTCTGAAACAAGCTGTACAGAAAACAAACGTAATTCAAGAGGGAGCACAGAATGTGGGAAGCGATCAAGGCATAAACAAAAACATGACATGGAAATGAGCATCCAAACCAGCAAAATATATTTAATATCACAAATACACACACAAAAAAATCTTTGTACATATCTAAAATAGGTATGATCAGTAAAAATCCTCCCACAGAAAGGTATTTATAAACAAGAAAATTAACCCAGTTACATTGGCTATGGCTGGCAACAGAGGTGTTTACAGGTAGCACAGCGTTAATTATGCCTTTGCAAAATAAAGTGAAAACAAAGGTGAAGAAATTATTTCTGGGAAAAACTTGAACCAAGGCTGGACAACAATCACAAGGCAAAGCGTAAGGAACTGCTAATCTCTAACTCTAGTAGTGCCAAAAAAATGAAGAATGGCTTTTTTTCCCCAATACTTGCTCAGAGAAAAATACTGTGAATTTGCAGTTGTAAGTCTTTAAAAGGAATTCAATTTGTAGGACTTAGTGCATGTTTCAGCAAAGCTGATACTATACAGGAGGTAAATGAAACAAAGTCAACATAAAATTACTACTGTGATATACATTTATAGCAACCTTTATAGTAAAATGTCTGAATATACAGTACAGAGACAAGCCTCTAAAAAAAAATTATATTTTCTCCATCCAGAGAACTTGTAAGCATGTTACCACTAAAGAAAAACAACTTGTATGTAACTGATAGCATATGCAACATTCTTTGGAATTAGATTAAATTTCTCTTTCAGGTGTTGCCCCTGTATGTCACAGAAGGAACAGCAGAGGGGTAACTCCTCACTGGGAGCAGGAGCTCCTGGTGAGCTGTTCCTAGGCACACGCCCGGGGCTGAGCAGAGACCCGTGGAGATGCACGAGCACCAGGAGCTGGAGAAAAACTCCACCTGGGAACGTGGGTCATGATAGGACACTTTGATATTAGCCAGTGTAGAAGTGGAGAATGAATGCTGTTGAATTCCTGAGGCTCATTTCCCACAGACCTGGTTTAACTGTGTTTTGAAACATGCAAGACAGTCTCTTTGTTCCAAAAGGCCTCATAGTTTGAATGGCTGTAAACATTTCTTTCAGTTTAAATCAGCATTTTGACCATGCTGTTTAAAAACCACAACGTCAAATGTAGGAATACCTTGGCTCATGTTAAAACCATTTCAAATTCAGAAAACTAGTTCTTTAACTGAGAAAACTGAAACAAATTGGCAACGTGATTAGTTTTGCAAATAAACTTTTTTGCTATGTTTTTAGCTGACTCTTTATCTAACTTACAGCAAGCTTCTAAATATCACCTGGTCTATCCTTGAGAAAATCCAACACTTTGATAAGTAAGCTGGAGACCATTTAATAAACAGAGGCAAAAGATGAGCACCAAGTGTTGTGTTTGTTCTGCCCAAAGCTAGGGCCCCCACTGTGCTGCAGAGCAGATGCTGCTCACTGTCCCAGGACAGGTCAGAAGGCGAATACCTCCCTGTTCCCTTCCATGTACAAGAAGAAAGACACAGAAGATCTCCATAAAAATGTAACAGTAGCAGGTACAGAGTAAGATTTAACCCCCACTATAATTAGCAGAAGTGTTACGGTTGATATTCAAAGCTTTCCCAAAACAGAAAGGACTCACTTTTTGACTTCCAAATGTTCAGAGGGTGACTATCAGGTACTACGGTTTTGCTTTACAGGGACTGACTTACGTTAAAAATTTCCAGTGCTCAGGTTGGACCAGTTTATGATGCACTCAGATGAACCTTTACTGAAACAGTGGACAAAATAGTGGTGATTTTACCAACCAAATGATTCCCTCTATATAATCTTTTTTCTCTGTACTTAGTGGTTGTTGACTAGAAATGGCTGAAAATGATTTCTGCAGAGGAGGCAGCACTGCTTCTCTATAACCCGGTGAGTGCTTGTTCAGCCTAACTTCAAGTATCCAATTTATGTGCTTCAACAAGGAGCTTATGTACCCACCTCGGTCTCCGGAGGATGACTTAGAGCAGATGTGCTCTAAGGTTATTCAACAGACATAAAGGATGCATCTGGTTGACCTCTGACATATGAAAGCAAATCCAACACAAATCTAATAGGCACAATCACAGGAAAATGCATCCTTAAAATACAGATCAAATGAGTGTTCCTCTAGAAATACTTGTTTCTCTTTGTTGAATGAGCAGTAGAGCACTTCAGCTCACTAGCATAGACTCACGTGTCTAGCTTTCAGACAATTTAAATGAAACCACTCCTACCTCAAGCTCCCACATTAGGAACTTAAGTTGGATAGGTGAAGCTGGATGGTGTGATTACCCTCTGTCCTTCCTGAGCACAGCCACCTCTCCAACCCGTGACAGAGCTGCAATCACAGCATGCACTTAGAGAAGACCCAACAGAACCGAGTCTTGGTAGGAGAACTCATCTCATTTCTGATTTCTTTACTCCATTTTCACTTTATGGAAGGGGATGGATAAAACCAAAGTGTGTGGAGGGGTGGAGTCTTGCTAAATAAAGTTGTGTAACACACACACAAATGGAGTAACTTAGTGGCTGTCACTTGTAAATCCTACAAAAAAATCACCATTTTGAAGATGGTGGGTGCAAATTCCTCTAGCTATTGCAAATCTCATAAATTAATCACACATTTTATTTTCAGGGGTTACTCAACTCTTCACAGGTAACACGTATCAGTATTAGCAGATTCTCTAACTAGAGCTGGCTAAGATTTTCAAATGGAATTAGAAAAACCCTCAATGGCAAACACTTAAAGGGCTCCTAAAATATTTTCATGTATTTAAATTAAAAAAAAAAAAATTAGTAAGTTATATTGTAGCCAAATATCAGCTAAAGTCTAACCTTTTTAATAAAATACTGATGGAAACAGAAAAAAGTAAACTCTAGGTCTACTGGATTGCACAGACATATGCAAAAAAACCTCACCACAAACTGTACTGTCTCACTCCTTATCTTCTGTACTTGAGAAAACAAGACTGGACAGCTATGCAGCTGCTCTGACTGCAGAGGAAAGGCTGGGACAAGATTTCTACCACACCATCCAGCTCTGTAAGTGGAAGGATTAAGATTAGAATCTTGTGGCTGCGAATACTCGGGACTCGCTCCTTCCCTAAAGTAAAAAGCCACTCTGTCTGACAAACTCTGCTCCTGCTTTTAATAGATAATTAACTCATTGGTCCAATCCTGTACTCGGCATTGAACAGAATCAAGGTCTTAGGCACCGCAAAGACTTCAGATAAACATGGAAGCAAGGCAACACTTGTATTTCTATTTTTTTTTCTGTGAATTATGTTCTTTGTATTTTGGAAAACTATGCTGAAGAAAGAAAAATAAACTCCAAGGAATTTAACAAACTAGTGTCTGGAAAAGACAGAACTGCCCTAAAAGGTGAGGGAAAAATTCTCAGTGCACTTGTAATTCCACGTATGAAATAACTACTGGGAATACTAAAAAAAAAAAAATAAATCTCCCAAATTTTTTTTCTGTGGATTATGTACTTTGTTAAATTCCTTGGAGTTTATTTTTCTTTCTTCAGCATAGTTTTCCAAAATACAAACTAGTGTCTGGAAAAGACAGAACTGCCCTAAAAGGTGAGGGAAAAATGCTCAGTGCACTTGTAATTCCACATATGAAATAATAACTACTGGGAATACTAAAAAAAAAAAATAAATCTCCCATAAGATAATGAATTTTGAATGTAACACTGAAAGTTTTTAAAACTGCAGTTCAGCAAACATTGTCCAAGCAGCATCAGGGCCTTAGACAGTTGCCTGATCTCCTTGTTTTCTGTGGCAAATTTCCACTGGTGGCAGTAGAACCGAGGCAGGGGCTGGAGATGTAAAAGCAAATAAAACTAAAGATTCTCAGTACCTGCTTACCTACAATGGCTATTCATTTGTTTCTTTTTTTTTTTTTTTTTTTTGGCTCAGTGCTGTTTAATAATACCCTTGACCCCACCATATAATTTCAAGGACATATAAATTGCTTTGAGTATTAGCTTGGTTCCTTTCCTGTACTTGAACCTTCCAGTGGATAGACATAACAAATAAGCATGCTGTGACACTCCCAGGAGCCGTCGTCCATCAAGCTGGTGGCTCTGAACAAAGGCTGCTTTAAGTAACAAACAGGAACACGTGAACTGTCTCTAAAACACGTGGCCGTATTAAATAAGTATCTTACATATGTACATACAGACCAGTAACAAAACTCAAATACCACAGTCCTACCCTCATCTGCTTAAGATGGCAGTTTCTAACTGTTGCATATACTATAGCTGCTCAAAGAGCTGAATAAAGGGAACATAGCAGGCTTTTTCAGAGAAAAATAGTAATATAAAAAGTTGTAAGTACAGTACAGTGAGAAAGTTCCCAGAGCTCTCACCCCATTTTCTCTTTGGTTGCTAATTAGGATTTGACAAGTTTGAAACCCTGACCTGTGTCCAGCACTGTGGGAAGAAACCAGCTCATTTTCAGTCTTTTCAAGCACCTAAAGCATGCCTTACAGACCCAGAACAGATTGAGCCCGCAGAACCAGTTTGCCAAATGTACCAGTGGGTAGGTGATGCGAGGGAAGTACGTCATCCAGTGCTTGGCAACGTCGCTCCCCGTTGGCAAGTGCAAGGTGTAGTCACTCCAGTGCTTCGACACTCCGTACGCCGCTCTCACCGTGCGCCCTTTTTCACACCAGCTGATGCTGCTGTTGGGGTTACAGTTGTACTCCACCCATTGCCTGGTGAAGTCACCAAGCTGGGGGGGGTCTGCTTCCTCGATGTCTACAACTCTGGCCATTTCTGCCCCTTGCACGGCAACGTACTGATCGTTTACTTTTCTTACTTCCTTAACCCAAGGCTGAGAGTTTTCACAGTCTAAAACGATGATGAGTCGAGAACAAAAAGTGCCATTCTTCTCTCTCCACCACTCCAACAGTGTGTCAAGTCGTAGAGCATCACCCCCTACCACAAGGGAAAGAAAGACTTAATATTAGGACAAAGACACAAAAACCTCTGTACAATTTTGACATCGTGTTCCAAGAAACCCTTATTTAAACAACCTGGACAGATATTACACAAGTCTTCAACTGATCCTCCCTGTTTGTAGATGTTACGGATCTCCAGAGAGGTGTTAACGGATTCCAACTGACTTGCTGTGGCAGATGAGGCAATTAACTCACTCTTGATTTAAAAGATAAAAGGAATTCCTTAACAGAATGAAAGAATTTACAGCCTATTGAAGAAATCTGGAAATAGCTAAACAGCGAAAGAAAACCTGAAATAGAGTTCATTTTGTAATAAACCTTGAAAATTTTAAGGGAAAAAAAAAAGGATTAGAAAACTAGTTTAAAAAACATTAAATGTGTAGGAGTCCTCTTTTAAGGAAAAGAGAGGACTTCAAAATACAACAGATACTAAGTTTTGAAGCACACTGAGAAAGCCACCTACAGGCACAACCATTGCTTTGGCCTGAAAAACATGTGTGACCAGAAATGGAGAGATTCACTCTATAGACACAGTTGTCTTCAGAGCTTCAAGGAAATAAAATTGCTATGGATTTACAACTCAATGAAACTAAAATCTCATGGGAATTTTCCCACAATGTTTATTTCCCATCAGCTCAGAAAACACAAGAAATTAGAGTGTCCAACTTCAGACATTCCATCTCAGCTCTTGCTCCAACAACACTCTGAAACCCCAGACTGTAATTAAAGCAAGTTACCTATTGTAGTGAGTTCTTCTGCTGAAGTGTAATGGGTACTGCAGGGTCTACGTAGCTTTGAAAGGCAGACTACGTATTTGAGAGCCTAAGGAAAACAAAAAGCCTGCAAACAAGTGAATTCATCTCCATTGGTTCCACAGTGGCTCCTAACATGAAGAACTTCTCTATCTAGGTGTTGCAGGTATGATACAGATTTACAATAAAAACACTCTAATTTTAACATGTGCAAGCTTTTATTTAAAGCTTTTAGAAAAAAGGTAGAAAAAAGTAATTTTAACTGCATTTTAATTCCATAGTTATTTTCATTGTGGAATGTAAGCACATTTTAGCAGTGTTTAAAATCCTGTTAGTAGGAATTTAACTGCACAGAGGAATTTCAAACAGAATAGCTGCATATTTCAGCACTTACATTTCTACCTGTAAGGGGTGACAAAAGTGTTTTGAATTAGCAGCTCAGAGTTAAAGCTTTGAGTACGCTATTGCAGTTAAAGCAGAGGCAGAATTACATGGCTACAACTTTCCCTAAAAAAAAAAAAAAAAAGCAAACCTAGAAAATTTAACATCAAAAGAAATCTTAATATCCAAACCTACAGTAATGATTTGTCTTGGTATATGATCCCCAAAGTGCTGTATTTACAGAACAGACTTATGTAGAAGCAGTCTCCCTTTTCTAGGTAAGCCTCTGCGACAATTAGCAGTAAAAATGTCTGCATTTGTTCACGTTTTAAAGGCTTACAAATAAACTTTATTTTAGTATAACTGTGTAGGGGTGCTGTTTTTTTCAAGAGAGTACCAGATAGAAAGGTGCAAAGAAAAACAGCTCACCCTTCATACACGCACAAACACATTCGCAGCTTCTAACCCTACTGACCTCAATCATACGGACTTCACAGCCAGAGCAAGATTTTAGGCACCAAGCTGTGTTAGAAATCCATGTGTCCAGCCACATCTGGGTTTCTGGTAGGTTTTGCAGGCCGTTAAGGGGACAGCTTCAGCAAGAGAGATGAAGTTTCATTAGCCCAGCTCTTGCCTCTGCCTTCGCTCACAAAACATGACCTCCCAGGTCGTTTGACTGCTCATGTTTTATGCATGACTAGTTGACAGTTTTTTATGCACCAGTTTACTCCTCAGCTTCCAACAACAGAGAAACATCATTAGTGAACTAATAAATTCAGTAAGCCTCCTTAAAAAAATGTCATTACGAAGCAAAGACTATGCTGCTACTGCTGTGCCCTAGCACAGCATAAGCTGGCAGCGAGTCATTGCTTTTCCTATCAGATCCAAGTGGTGTATTTCATTGCTGCTATCTCTCTTCATCCTCTCCAGAGGTCAGAGGACAGTACACATTACTGGAGCTGGCGAGCGAATGTTCCATCTGTCACAAAATGCCACGGTGAAATACACATGGTACAATTACACAATTGACAGCCTTCATCTTTTCAGTTTATACTTCCAAGTTACACTCAGGACCAGGGCTACCTGGAAAGAGTATCAGGTTGCAACCCCATCATTTATCTAAAATTAATCACAAGAAAGGATGCAAGACTCATGACAGCAGCTGCTCTTGTGTACAAGACCACCCTGTTCTTGGAGAAGTCATTCAGCCACCCTGGTGTACGCCGTGGCACATCACTCACGCCGAGCTCAGAGTACGGCTGTAGGTTTTTAAAATCACTGATACAGATGAAGCCTTTGAAAACAACTATGCATTGTTCTTTGGCAGGTGTAACAGTTCAGGCATGGAGAAGCACCAAAACAGGTATACGGCCTCCAGGTGAAAACTGACCTGTGCCTGGACACATCAGCATGACCACACGTGAAGCTCAAATCTGCCTATGGTGTTGAAAAGCAGGTGGCCGGGGACAGAGGCTGCTGACAAACAGCCAGGAGCTCGCAGGCACAGCGCTACCAAGGAGAATCAATTCCGTCCCAGGGAGAAAAGAAGCTACAAATTTTCGGCGTATTTACCAGAAGATTCACTTCTTGCACACAGCAACCTCAGAAGCCCAGTTCCATACAGTGTCAGAACTGGCTAAACCTACCAATGATTTGAAAACTTCAGCAGGTTCACCCAAGTCTACAGCTGACATAGAACTGCCCGTTATAAAGAGATCAATGACAGGACAGGAACATGGGAAATGTCGAAGTGTATTAAGACATTAAACCAGCCCCCTCTGTAGAGCCTTGTAGTCTTTGCAGTCTCACAATCACTCCCAAACTCTTAGGATGTCAGCAAAATGTAGCTGTTTTTATGATACAAGGTTTGCTGTTATGTTTGAAGACCTGCTTTTCTAGAGTGGACTGTACACCTGTCTCCTATTTCTTTACTTATTCTTTTACAAAAACCAGAGCACATCTTCAGGACACTCATGCAGCCCTTCAGGACAGCCCTGTTGACACAGAACACTGTGTAAGTCACTCAGGATGAGGTGTGCTGGCTCTGCCTTGTCCAGGCAATGGGAAGGGATTATGCTTGTTCATTCCTCAAAATACAAGGGAATCTGTCTTTAAAGCAGAAGGGAGTCACTTCCACTCTACTTTTCTGGGGAAAATAAAAAGTGATCTTTAAAGTTGCTTTGTTGAATTGTCAGGGAAATAAGAAATCATGCTTAAACTCTTAAGCGTACAGTTGAGGTCAACAATATTTAGACAATTCTGACAACAATTAAGAGAACAGCTGCAAAAGGAATTTTATCACTGTGACTAAGTACTAAAACTGACACTGAAGCTCCCACAGTAACACACCTGACGGTCACACAGGGCAAGGTAAGGAAAGGGCTTTACATCAACTTAGCTGCGTACCAAAGGGGGCTCTGCATTTCTCCATTCTCTCCATGGGCAGAGGTACCTAGCCTGCAGCCCTGCCTATTTTGATGATCCCTTGTAGCCTCTGAACCTCCTCACAGCCATGCTCTATTACCCCTTCCTTTCCTCCTCTTCTGCTCGCAGTGGCTCTTTGCCATTCTTGACTATCAGATAACAAATGTGACCACATCTTCCAAGTTTTGGTACAGAGTATGATTTTTTTTAAAGAAAGAATTGATTTGGAAAGTTTATCAATACCAAAACCATTAATAAAAAAAAAAAATCCCCAGAGCAGTTACCTGCCAGCGCCCATTCGCCAGTGCCATGTGAGTGACCACTGTAATATAAAATGTAGGTATCGTGTCTGGGTCCGTCTGCTGTCCGAAGTTCAAGAAACGACTTGACCTTGGAGTGCAGGGCGTCAAAGGTCATTCCGCTCGTGGAGTAGTCACAACCATACATCTCAATCATGTGATAGGCGAAGAACCTCTGGATGGCGTTCAGCATGCTGGTGGACCTCACGTTTAACTCTTGCACGTGCTCAGGTGGAAGAAGAGTTGGTTGGCCATCAGGACTGAAGAGAAGAAAACCAGCTACGATTATGATTTAGAATTATGTCTTGCTTCGTGAACTTTCAGCAACCGGTGATTTTTACCCCGTGCATATTTTCCCTGTTATGAAGTAGCACTGTCCTAAATCCAAACTGACTTGAAATGTACAGTTTATGAACAATTCCAAATACTGTATCTGGGTGAGGGACCACCATCTCCCCTTCCCTTCTGTCACACTTCTCCACTTCAAAGCAGAGTCCTTGCTGAACCCCATGCTATTCCTGGAGCTGACAGAGGGGCCACGATGTGCACACGCTAGGTAGGCTTCCACAGTTTCACTGAGTCCCACTGGAGAAAACGCTGCCCTCAGACAGGCACCTCTCCACACACGGCTGGGCAGAAGGGCAGGGACAGCACGTGCTCACCTTTACTCAGTATGGTACTCACAAACAGAGGAACGTGCTGGTCAGAGCCTGACCTTTCAGCCCAAGAAACGCATTTCAGGTAAGAGCATTCACAGCTTAGAAAATGAAAATTCTAAGAAAATGACAAACTAGCCATGGAACAACCCATGTATATATAGATCTGTGTATGTATGTATATGAATATGCAGACATAACTAAAGAGTCCCTGGGATCCAAAATGCATTTTTTTTTTTTAATTTATGTATCTGCTATGTGCAAATATGTATTAATTTATATACTTATAAAAATAAGTGACTTGGTCTTGCAAGATACCCAGTTAGGGAAATGCTCTTCAGGATGCATTTTAGAAAAAGATATATATTTGTCACTCTTCAGTCAACACAATAATGGTAAAGATGAGGAGCATGACTGACAGCTGTACCAAACTGGCCTGCTTTATGCTCAGTTACAGACATAGAGAGGTTTTGTGAGTGAAAATATGGACGTGGTCTTACCCTACTAATACAAAAAAAAAATCTTAGAATCATAATGGAATCATTTAGGTTGGAAAAGGCCTTTAAGGTCCTTGAGTGAACCATTAATCTAGCACTGCCAAATCCATTACTAAACCATGTCCCTCAGCATCACATCTAAACATCTTTTAAATCCCTCCAGGGATGGTGACTCTACCACTTCCCTAGGCAGCCTCTTCCAGTGCTTTACAGCCCTTTCACTGAATAAATTTTTCCTAATATCCAACCTAAACCTCCCCTGGTGCAACTTTAGGCCATTTCCTCTTGTCCTATTGCTTGTTACTTGGGAGAACAGACTGATCACACCTTCCTACAACCAATCTTTTGGGTAGTTGTAGAGAGTGATAGGGTCTTTCCTGAGCCTTCTCTTCGCCAGGCTAAACAACCCCAGTTCCCTCAGTTGCTCTTCATAAGACTTGTCCTCTAGACACTTCACCAGCTTCATGGCCCTTCTTTGGACACACTCCAGCACCTCAAGGTCCTTGTAGTGTGGTGCCCAAAACTGAACACAGTGCTAAAGGTGCGGCCTCACCAGTGCTGAGTGCAGGGGCATAATCACTTCCTTAGTCCTGCTGGCCACACTATCTCTGATACAAGCCAGGATGCTGTTGGCCTTCTTGGCCACCTGGGCACACTGCTGGCTCAAGTTCAGTTGGCTGTCAACCAAAACCCCAGGTCCTTTTCCACCAGGCAGCTTTCCAGCCACTCCTTCCACAGCCTGTAGCATTGCATGGGCTTGTTGCGACCTAAGTGCAGGACGTGGCACTTGACCTTGTTGAACCTCATCCCACTGGCCTCAGTCCATCCATCCAGCCTGTCCAGATCCCTCTGCAGAGCCTCCTTACCTTAAAGCTGATCAACACATTCATCCAACTTGGTGTCATCTGCAAACTTACTGAGGGTGCCCTTGATCCCCTCATCCAGATCACTGATAAAGACATTAAGGAGAACAGGCCCCAATACTGAACCCATGGGAACACCACTCATGACTGGCCACCAACTGGATTTAACTCCATTCACCACAACTCGTTGGGTCTGGTCATCCAGACAGTTTTTTAATCCAGCAAAGAGTATTCCTGTCTAAACCATAAGCAGCCACTTTCTCCAGGACAATGCTGTGGGAAACAGTGCAAAAGCTTTACTAAAGTCCAGGCAGACACCACCCACAGCCTTTCCCTCATCACTAAACAGTTCACCTTGTCATAGAAGGAGATCGGGTTAGTCAAGCAGGACCTGCCTTTCATAAATCCATGCTGACTGGCCTTGGTCACCTGGTTGTCCTGTACGAGTTGTGTGATGGCACTTGCGATGATCTGCTCCATAACCTTTCTTGGCACCTAGGTCAGACTGACAGGCCTGTAGTTCCCCAGATTTTCCCCCTGGCCCTTCCCGTAGATGTGTGTCACATTTGCTAACTTCCAGTCTACTGGAACCTCTCCGGTTAGCCAAGACTGCTGGTAAATGATTGAAAGTGGCTTGGTGAGCCCTTCCGCCAACTCCCTCAGTACCCTTGGGTGGATGCCATCTGGCTCCATAGAGTTCTGGGTGTCTAAGTGGTGTAGTAGCTCACTGACCATTTCCTCTTGGATTATGGGGGCTTCATTCTGCTCCCTGTCTTCCAGCTCAGGGAGCTGGGCACTCAGAGGACAAGTCATTTTACTGTTAAATACTGAGGCAAAGAAGGCATTCAGTACCTCAGCCTTCTCCTCATCCTTGGTCACAACGTTTCCCCCTCACATCCAACAGAGGATGGAGATTCTCCAGATTCTCCTTAGTCCTCCTGTTAATGTGTTTGTGGAAACATTCTTTACTGTCTTTCATTGCAGTAGCCAGATTAAGTCCTAGCTGGACTTTGGCTCTTCTAATTTTCTCCCTACACAGACTCACAATATCCTTGTAATCCTTCTGAGTGGCCTGCTCCTTCTCCATAGGCCACAGACTTTCCTTTTCTTCCTGAGTTCCAGCCAAAACTCTCTGTTCAGCCAGGCTGGTCTTCCCCACTTGCTCGTCTTTCAGCACATTGGGACAGCCTGCTCCTGTGCCTTTAAGCAAAATGTCCAGCCTTCCTAGTCTCCTTTGCTCTGCAGGACTGCTTCCCAAGGGGCTCTGTCAACCAGACTCCTAAACAGGTCAAAGTCTGCCCTCTGGAAGTCCAAGGTGACAGTTCTGTTGACTCTCCTCCTTCCTTCTCTGAGAATTGAAAACTCTATCCATGATCACTCTGCTCAAGACAACCTCCAACCTTAGCATCACCCCCAAGTCTTTCTCTGTTCACAAACAACAGGTCTAGCAGGGAGCTTTCCCTAGCTGGCTCACTTACCAGCTGTGTCAGAAAGTTACATTCCACACACTCCAGGAGCCTCCTAGGCTGTTCCCTCTCTGCTGTATTGTATTTCCAGCAGACATCTGGTAAACTGAAGACCACAGGAGAACAAATGGTAGTGATTGTGAGACTTCTCCCAGCTGCTTAGAGAATATTTCATCTGCTTCTTCATTCTGGTTGGGTGGTCTGTAACAGACTCCCATCATGACATCCACCTCGTTGGCCTACCCCTTGATTCTTACCCCTACTAACACTAAGCTCGAGGCAATCAAAACACTCCCTAACATACAGGGCAACACTAAGCTCGAGGCAATCAAAACGCTCCCTAACATACAGGGCTACTATACGGTTTCTTTTTTTCATACAAACACACGTACGTATGTATTCTTCACGTATTTTGTTTGCAAGTCAGTGTGTAAAACTACCTGGTTTCTTTATTGGTCTGATTAAATGTTGCACCTCCACACCTGGCTAGTGCCTCCATGAAAACTAATGTTCCACTACCACAGTGACACTGAATACATCATCGTTGCTGTTTGCCTCAGCAACTGAAGACTGGGTCCGTCAATGAAACAGTCAATCTTTGATAATAAAAAGTTTAGTTCACTCAGGCCCTGGTCAGTTGCTCAAGAATCTCTCATCATTCAAATATTAGAGTAAACTGCCAAAGCCAGATTAGTATAATGTAATATAGAAAAACTGTTGCCATAGAAACAGAAATAATTTACTTATATGACAATGTAAATTTTGAAAAATTATTAATCCCTAAAGGTAACTGGCTATGTGGATATTTTTAAGAATGTACAGCTGAAGACTGGAGATCAGAAGCTCAGGAAATTAGTTTTTACAGTATTTTATGCTATTTAAGATACAGTGATCTAAGATCAGCACGATACCTTCTGTTTCCTTTCCTGTTATTTTTTTTTCCCCCTATCCACTAAATCCATTACACACACATGCTCAAGCTGGGCAGTTCTCACAAATTGGTTGGTTCTATTTTTAAGCCTTTAATTTCAACTTACTATTCCATTTCTCTTCTAACTCAAACAGGTAACTTACATAATTCTTGTTTACCATTTAAAAAACATGCAATTATATGGCTAAAGTAGCATTTGCAAGTTTAAAGCTTACAAGAAAAGAACAGAAATAGGCAAATAATAATAGTTCAATCTCTCCACCCCCAAGAATTTCTTATACAGTAACATTTACACTGGAACAAAAATCAGCTGTCAATTCACAATAATAATAACTGACATTTAGTCCACTCACCAACCTAATTTCAATGTCCTTTAAACATAGACAACATCTCACTTAGTAGAATTCGAAATCGTTTTGAACTGATCTGTTTGGTTTATTAAATCTTCTCATGTAAAACAACATCTGCACTCAGTCAACTGCCCCAATCCTCCTCTGTGTGTGCTACGGACTGTGGAATCTGCCTACAAAGGAGTGGTGTGTAGAGCAGTCATTGGCTTTCCAAAAGCATATTAAATACAGATTAAAAAAAGCAGAGCTGGAGTTAGTCCTTCTTTATGGAAGGAGAAGGAAAAATACAAACTCTGTTTGTTGTTTAAATTTGCATTTAACTATTGAAAAATACAAGAACAGCACTGCTTTGCCTCTACGAGCTAAGAGTGAAGCTGAAAGACGTGGTAACTACCTGCAGAAGTTGGTGGGAATCACAACCGCATACCCGACGCACGTTCCTCCCAAGCAGTTCCCCAGCTCATGGAAAAGCCCATGAGCCATGGACTCCAGTGGCAAAACGATGAGAAACGCACTCATGAAGATCCCATTGGTTGGCTAAAAAGAAAACAGAGATTTAGGCATTGCATGAAAAAATCTTTCCTGCCTGTTGGTTACAGTTTTATGAATAGTTCTCTGTTTCATCACACATAATTGGATCCCGAAACACACAATTCATTATACACAATGTACACTTATTTTTCCACACGTTACACAGTGAAGCACTCTAAAGACAAAAGGAAGGCTTGAGGAGAAAGTGTCTGGCAAGCAGGGATCACTGTTCTGAAAGGAATGCATCTGAAAACATGAACAGCGCAGGACTTAGGTTTAGAAGCCCTGATCATAGTTTAGCTTTAACCATTTAACCAGGAAAATCAAATGTGCATATAATAAGTATACCTGTAACTATCTGCAAGATCAGGCCTTAAATAGTAAAGTACAACACAGTGTTATGTACCTAGCATCAGACAAATGTGCACTATATTGCACCATCAAAAAATACATATTTAACCATTTTTGCTTTTTAACATCAAGAGCTGTTAAATTACTCTTTGTGGAATACTATGTATCACACAAAAGAGGACTCATGAGAATGTTTATGAACATTACAACAATTAAAAAGACAATTCTTTATCAGCTACATAAGTATCAGATGAAAAGGGACATCCACTACAGCATTCACACAGCTAACTACAGCCTACACCGAGCTTTCCTGTTTTGTAAATAAAAAGCAGTTTTGGAAAAGATTATACTCACTGATACATAGATGATTTCTGTAAAGAAATTTAAGTTTCAAAAGTTTAGTCTCAACCACTAGTACTAGTAAAATAAGAATGAACTTTTGCAAATGGCAGCTGTCAGTGAGAGGCAGAACAAATAGATTAATTTTACTTATTTTAATATGATAGGAATGGGTTTAATGAGACAATAAATACTTTAGGAAAGGTAGAAACTATTACAATACATAATTAACAAAGAACTTTAATATCTGTGGTTCAGTTATTAAATATTAGTTATGCAGCAAAGGAAATAAATTCATAGCTACAGATTTCTGGCTTGAGAAGAGTCCTGTGGCCTCTGACCACATCTGTTCTATTTGCCATCTTTTCATATATCTCCAATATTCAGATTTTTGAAAAATCAGGGTATTGCCTTGTTGTTTAACAGTCAGTTAATGACTTGATGTGGACTGGTAGTTCAGCTTAACACATACTTGAAATTATTAATAATTTGGAAAGTAAATTATACTGAAAAAAATAACATGTAAACCAACTGAGTTCTTGTCACATGGCGCTAACTCAACTATATTCAGTTTTTAAACACATAAATATTAACGGACTTATCCTGTCCTGAACACCTTTACCCATCCAACATGCCTCCAGCCCTAAGGAAGAATACTGTTTGCAACCTGTGCCAGTTTTAAGGAGTGTCCCATTATACTCACCTGTGGAAGGATCTCACCTGTGTGTCCTTGAAAAGGAGACAGCAATAGTTCTAGCCACAAATAAACACCAGAATCTGATACTAACTGATAACTAACCCATAGCCTTATTAACTGACAGCACTATTCTCAAATAACTGGTAACTGTTACCTGATAGCATTATTCCCAAATTCTGACATCTGAAACCACTACAGACCTATATCCAGCTCATACTAAACTTCATACCACTAATGACAAAGGAAAAGTTCATTTATTTAGCTTCTAGCTCTCAAGGACACAGGGACTTAACATTAGCAGACATCAGATCACGTTGCAGAAGAACCATGGAGAGCTTTCCTTTACCCACAGCCTGCACTCCTTATCACAGAAGGGACAATTAATATGCATGTTGATGTGCTACACAACTGGTTCAGATGTATTCAGTCCATCAAAAGGTGATACTAATAGTGTTAATACTGCAATCCAATTTCACCTGGTATAATGTAATCTGATGGCGGCATTTCAAAATACCTAACGTATAAGAACTTGAAACAGTAAAAAATAATATCTATGTAGGTTAGTAAATCCAAAGACAGGCTCCTCTTAAAATAACAGCTAAGACGCCAGGTGGAGACTGTCAGTGCTTTACTAAATCCAAAAGATTTGATGACTGGTCCTTAATGGAGCAGATGGCCACGAGTACATGGCCAGAGCCAAAAAAGGGATTTTGTTCTTTCATCTGTTTCGACTGCACTGGCAACCTCAGCCTGCAGTATATCCCTGTACTCCAAGTGCCCACTGATTCCAGACAGACTGCTCAAAAAGCAAACAAAAGACAGCAACCATCTCAGCAATCCCACTGAAAAAATGGGAAACTATTTTTATCTCTTTGTCCTTGGGGTTTTTTGCTTTTGTTTATGTTCTTCTAAATGCATATTTAAGAAATACAAAGTGTGTTCTCATTTCAAATAATGTACAAAAGGTAAAAAAACCCCTAAATTCTTGGCTCTGATGACTGAAATGACAGACAATAAAAGATGGGTGAGATTTGCTAGTATCTCAGTCACTAGTATCTCTATTTTTCCACTTTCTTTAGCTTCTCAAGCAAAATGCTTATTGTTAAACACTAGAACAATTTAGAGGTATTTTAGAATTCGTTATTCATCCATAGGACAACTCTAGTACCTAGAGTTCTAATTAGATACTAGTTAGAACTACTAAGAAGTAAACCACTGTTAGAAGTGGAACAATTCTGGAACTGTATTTACAACAGAGTGTTGCTGACGTGACTGACAGAAATAAGGAGAAGGAAGAGGAAAACAAAAAAAAAAGAAATATTAGTTTAAATGGGAAGCCAATTACAAAGACCTACAGAAGAACCCTTCTGACATAGAACAGATATATTTCTAACCAGATGTCAGCTGAGATGATCACAGTCACTGAATGGTTGAGGCTGGAAGGGGCCTGGGAGAGCACCTGGTCCAGCTCCCAGCTCAAGCAGGGCCTCCTACAGCAGGCTGACCAGGATTGTATGTAACAGAGCAGCAACTAAGGAGGCTTACAAAGATGTCTTTGCCTATCTATAAGCAAAAATTATGCCCCACTTTCCATTATTCAAGCTGAATAATATTACCTGTTTTTATATAACCATATAGAGACACACACGTAAGTAAATATAAAATCTGCCTAGTTTCTCTGCAAAACCAGAGAAGCACATGCTCCACGACAGAGAAAGCTCAGGACAAAAAGAGTAAGGGGGTAACTAATCTTGATTAAATATTTGATGGATAACTTATTCCAAATGAAAACAAAATAAGTATATTACAGGTAAAAAGAAGTTTACAGACAAAATTTGTAAAGCTACGATGCAGCTCAACTACCAGAGGAACCTATCTTATAACAGATTATTGAAAGAAAGAATAGTCTCCAGAGAACAATAAATAACCCATTACTTCTGGCTATTAAAACACCCCTGGGCAAATCTAGAAAAGTTTGCAAAAAACAGCTGTCCCATTCAGTAGCAGATGGATTTCACGTGTGACGTTTCCCATCTCTGATTCCTGCTCTAGCCACAGCCTGTGCTTCAGTCAGTGTGCACCTGTCCCAGCAAACCCAGAAGTGGTTGTCCATTTAAAAGCACAGTAAATGGATTTCTTACTATTTTAATAACAAGAACAGGATTCTGCAATTAATGAGACTTCAACAGCAAGCTTAACAAAGGAATCAGATACTTTACAGTAATAATGAGTACTTTCTGTCTCTTGCCACCAGAGATCCCCTTCATGACCAAGGCTTCTGGAAGTGGAGGTGACAGCAGCAGGACGTGCTGCCACCGTGGGTGTGAGGAGGGGACCTGGTGTAGCCCTCGGCACAGGGCTGGAGAGGCTGCACAGGGCAAGGTGGGCAGCAAAAATGCACAGTGAGTTTGAGAGGAAATGAGGAGCAGTGAGCAAGGGGCATTTAGGAGCCAGCTTAAGAGATGATGAAACAGTAGG